CACTGCAACCTCTGTCTTCCGGGTTCAAGTGATTCTCCTGCCTCAGCCTCCTGAGTAGCTGGGATGACAGGTGCACACCACCACTCCCGTCTAATTTTTTTTTTTTTGGGGGGGGCATTTCAGTAGAGACAGGGTTTCACCATGTTGCCAAGGCTGGACTCAAACTCCTGTGCTCAGGCAATCTGCCAGCCTTGGCCTCCCCAGGTGCTGGGATTACAGACGTGAGCCACTGTGCCTGGCCTATTTACCTACCTTCTTCATTGTCTATGCTTAGTCATAACGGTAGCCCACTGGCCAGCTTGGCACTTAGCACATGCAGACAAATATTTGTCAATAAAAGGACCCAAATCCCTAAACACGCCACCCCAGCCCAACTGGTCTCTTCAATGTCCCCCAAGCACCCCCCTTGCCTGTGTGAGCTCTCAGTCCCACCCCTACTTCCTGCACCTAACTGGACCCTCCCAGATCATCTTCAAACTCCCAGGCTGTGAATTCCAGGAGGCTAATGGGGAAAATCTGCAGGTCCCTTCATGCAGGACCTAGTGCATAGTAGGGCCAAAAAGAAATAAATCAAGAGGAAACGAGCCAACACATGCTGAACGATACATTTCAGGGGTTGGGAGAAAACTCTAGAGACTACCAGAGGCCCTCCCCGCCACCCACTGCAGGGAGGCCTCGCAGCTGGTCAATCTATGCCGTCATCGTCACAAGAGGGGCCTCCAGAGTAGACTGTGACTCAAGGTCACGGCCCACAACCGAGTCGCTGTGTTTTACGGCCCCTGCAAGAATGCAGACCAAAGCTCTCTTCCTGGGGAAAAGAGAGAGGGAGGAGGCCTGACACGGGACTCGGAATCGCCATGTGAACTTGGGGTCCCCAGGGGAACCCTGAGAGGAACAAGGGTGACAGGGAAAAACAGGGAGCACTGGCCAAGGAGTCATGAAGTCCGAACTCCAGCCCCAGGCCTGCCTCTGGAGGCCACAGGACCACAGACAACACACTTCCCTGCACCAGGCCTATTTGCTCAACTGCAGAAAAACTTCTAAGACTAGGGATGCTTGTCTTCCCCATCAGCTCTTCAGGAGAGCATAGAAAAAAAAAAAAAAAAAAAAACCTGGCAGTAAGTAGCAATAAAATAATAGGGCAGGCGCAGTGGCTTGCGCCTGTAATCTCAGCATTTTTGGAAGCCAAGGCTGGTGGATCACTTGAGGTCAGGTGTTTAAGACCAGCCTGGCCAACATGGCAAAACCCCATCTCTACTAAAAATACAAAAATTAGCCTGGTGTGGTGGTGCATGCCTGTAGTCCCAGCTACTCAGGAGGCTCGGGCAGGAGAATCGCCTGAACCCAGGAGGCGGAGGCTCCAGTGCATCGAGATCATGCCACTGCACTGCAGCCTGGGCGGCAGAGCGACACCCCATCTCCACTAGTAATAATAACGATAGCTGCTATGATTTATTAAACCATTTCTTGGTGTCAGGCACGGTGCTAAGTGTTTTGTAAGCATCATCTCATTTGGGCTCTGTCCTCAAAATAATAGTAACAATTTAAAAAGCTGC